CATCGGTGGTCGAAAACCTGAAGACGCAGAATGAGGGTATTAGAACTCCAGACATTCAAGATACGAGGCGAACAGATCACCACTGTCTCATCTTGGTGCTCTAAATGCAATGAGTCATACTTAAACCGATGAACGTGTCGGCACTTGATTGATGAGTGTTTTTTGCGCTTCCGAATTGTGCAGATCGATGGCCCACTGCTTGCACATGTGCACTCTATGTCACGTGATGCACAAACGAAAACTTGGCTCATCATGAGCTTACCCCGTTTCGATGAAGTAATGGATTGGTTCCTTGGTCGAGACCGCCACTCTCTTCGCCGTTTCTTGGTGCATCTGTGCATGGTGCCAGTATATTAGTCAATCACCAGAATGTGTTCCTTAAAATTATTGCTGTTAATGACGGTGATGGTGTTTAGCGTATTTTTTGGGTGACTAAATGATTTGAACTCTCGCCCAATTAGTCCCCATCCCTGTTGGTTAGAAACCTCCTCACTAGAGGAACCCCTTCGTCCCGGTTCTTTGGATTGATCGGTAACAGGGGAACTTTCGGTATGGGGCGGTTTCCTTTGAAAATTGAGGTATGAGAACACGTTAGTTAACCAGATATCGAATTTCTCCTGGGCTGTAGTGAGCCAGGGTACTCAGAAGTCAAGCTTAGCCCTATTGGATACCTCCTGTGCACATTTCTGGTACTATCTAGTGAGCTTGCGAGTTAAGATGACTTAGTGATTAAGGCGTGAGGTTACTGACCGGAATGTGTGTGATTCGAATCCGACGTGCGTATCACAACTTCCCCTGTCTAGGTTTGGACAACCTGGTAGTATCTCAGCCCTGGTGCATCCTTGTCCCAGCTAGGCACCGAAAACACGCCACAGGTGGATTACTATTACCAAGTTTCCAGTTCCTTGAACGATTACGTCGTGGGGAATAACCTATTCTTCTCCATCAAAGAAGTGAAGTGAAACTCATCCGTTTCAGTGGAAAATGCGTTACGCGATACTAGTCAACCAATCCCAAGCAGTCAAGCATTATCCAAGGGTTGTAGTGTCATCGAGAATTACTGAAGCCTGGATCTCATTTAATATACCTTTCAATTGCATTGAGGAACGCAAAGTGGACGGTGTCTCCCCTGTATGCCATGCATGTTTCATCTCGCTTTAGACGTCCATTCCGGGCGACCGCCTAGTTATGCCCCGTTTGAGATTCACCATCGAGTAGGTCCTTCAATGTAAATGCAGATTAGCTATTCCATTCATGCAAGTGTCAAGTGGAATCCTACACCAAAATCGTATTACCGCTCACAGTTAGGCGCTGCTATGGCGAAAAAGCCTATCCCACACTCAACTGTCCGCAAGGTCGGCCCGCTCGAGGCGAGCTCTGATTGGCTGTAATTATGCACCCAACAGCCATTCACAGTTCAGTATCCTCCATGTGCCGGTTACCAATGAGAAGGGCCAACCAACGCAAAGAAACACTGGACAACAAGCAAACGAGACGAAGTAAAAGGCCGAGGTTTGTGAGAACAAGTTTCGCATTGAGGCCACCATTAGTATCGTATGTTTTTAGCAATGATGTCATACAAAAGAACCGGGACCTTTAGGGTTAAGTTTTTTTCAGTCATTGTGTGAGACTAGAGGTTTAGTCCCTATTGGGGGACCGGACCA